AAAAATATGTGAAATGAAAAAAAATAATGAAGAGATTGGATATACTCTCACCCACAAACTATAGCCCATCCAAACATACTTTCTCCGTTCCAAAAAACTTTGTCATTTCAAAAAAACTGAACCATGATTTGATTAGTATAATATTATGGAAGTTATAAATTTTACTGTTATAAAAATACTTTTAACAAAGAATATTTTCTTATAACTTTTATATTATAAATAATTTCCAATAAAAATGCAAAGTTTTTTAGGATGGAGGTAGTATATAAATATGCATAATCCCTACGTTCCAGTTTAAATTTCTCACTTATCTTTTTTGACGTATCAACTAAAGCTTCTCATTTCTATTTTATGAAATAATCAGCGCTCTTAAATGATAAATTAATGATCAAATATTAAAAATCACACACTCTAAACTCATATGTATCATCAATGATCTCGTTATGTTATACTCATCAAAACTAATTTCAAAATATACTCAAACTGCCTTATTTAATTATTATCTAAATAAGAAAATCATTTTTCAATGAGAAGCTTAATGTTTATTAAAATATAAAAATTATTATCATGAATATTTTGTTTTAATATATTGTGTGTCATCCGGTCATTCTTTCAACTTTTTTGGCCAAATAGGTTTGCTTTATTCAACTAGCAATTCATATTCAACATTTCAAAATCTAGTTCTAGACAATAGTTTCTAAATCAACAATATGCAGTTCCATTTTGAAAAGCGGAAGGCGCAGCTAGGGTTCTAGTCTGCGAGAGTTTTGGGGTCGGCGACTCCAATCGCTCGACATTTAGATTGCAGCGAAGGGAAACGACTAACCAGGCATTATCGTGGGGAAGGGCGACGACGCTCACAGAAGGATTAACAGGGACTGCAGTGTGCTAGCGACGGACAGGGGGACAATTTGGAGCTTATGCAGGGGAGTTTTCAGAGCTTTGGTGTGGCGGTGAACAACAGGGTGGAGTCAAGCACGGTGGACAAAGGGGCAGGCTATTCGGATGTGGAGGCTGCTCGGTTTAGGACTGGTTGTGTTCGTGCATTATTTTGGTCAAGAGATGGGGTGACTCTCATGCATATCAAAGTGATGAAGGAAGAAGAAAAAGTGATGAAAATCCGACCGCCTCCTGAACTGCCGCCAAGGAGGAACTATGCGGCTAGGGGGTTTGGAAGACTGGTTTACTATTTCTTGTTTTTTATTTTCAGTTCAGACTGTTTTACTATTTCTATTTTGCTATTCCTAGGACAAACAATATGGGGGTAGATTGGTGTTTTGGTTTATTTTAGTTGTTAGATTACTGTTTGGAGGAAATCAAGTTGATTCAACCGCTAATAGTCTCTATGCTCTCACAGTTTCAACGATTAGCCTCGCTCTTCCTATGTTGGACTATTCTATGTCTGATCATGATATGAGGAGACCAATGAGCCTTGGTTTTAGATGGATAGAGGAGATTTAGATCTTGGGATATTATTGTTATTTTGGATCGTTTGATTTAATATAAGCTATTTTCCTTTAAAAAAGACAATAATTTCTAATTTAGACAAGAATTCTTAGTTCCGACATTAGCCTCCAGCTACAGCTCTTACCGTCAAAGATAGTCTTGATGTCACTACATTTTATTATGTTGCTTGCATCTTTTAGATCACTAGGGATTCACTACTAACGCTGCCAATTTTTTTTGGAAAACAAAATTGGCCTTTTTTCTTTCAAATGTGTTGACACAATAATATCAATGTCAGAAATCCAAAATAGGGAAGTTTAGATAAAGGTTTTTGAAATATCATACTTAATATTTTCATTATTTGTTTGATTTGTTTTTGTATTGGATGAATTTGGTTTTCTTTTTCAAAAGTTCCATCGAAACTTTGCAATAACAACTCCTACAAAGCCCCTTGTTAATAGATTTTACCTTTCAAATTTGGAGCCCGTTTGGTAGCACGAAAATCGGTTGTTTTGGCTGATTCTGCTGAAATTTATGAAGTTCTGGCTGAAGTGACTGCATTGGCTGATTCTGCTGATACAAGAAAAAAATATTTTTAAAATATATTTGATTAATAAAATAAAGAAAAAATTATATGTAAAAATAGCTAAAATGATCATCTACAGTAACTTCAGCCAATACAGCCAGAAAAGTAACTCCAACCTTACTTTTTCGGCTTATTACACAATTCAGCGCGCGGAAGCAAAATTTACGTGATTGGTAAAAAAGTTGGTTGATAAGCCTGATCAGTCGAAAATGTGGTTTGCCAAACGGCCTCTTCAAGTACCTCATGGTGGTTCATGCCTTTGTTTCACCTTTTTGTTGGATTTTTAAACTCTCTCATGCAAATTTATTGATTACGTCTTACTTTGTTTATAAATTAAATGTTTTACCAATCGAAGTTGTATTTCATCTCTTTCGTATTGTTATTCATTATTAGCATGTTATGTCAGAATTTAAGTTTATAGTATCAACTATTAATATTTTATTAATGGTGTTTATATTAATTAATGGCATATGTAAGGAGTAGTGATTAATACTGGGCATATCAAAATATTTGGTTTTCCCGCAAAAATTTGTATTCGAATGTTACCCTATGTTTATAGAGATTGTTGACAAGAATGTGACTTGATAACTCTTAAAGACTACTATCTTGTTCAAAATTTAAATCAATGTGATTATAAAAGTGTATTTGTAGTACTTTACTCACAATTTTATTCACAAATTTTACTTCAATAATATTTTAGAAAAAACATTTATCTTAAAATATATAGATATGCGCACACACATACATAGACACAAATATTTCTGTCACTATACCTGACTAAGCCGTCATCTGAACACCTCGCTTTGAAGTGGTTCCCAGTGGGTTTTTTGCTCAAATTTTGTGTGCATGTTCCCCATTAAGTGTAGGTTATGTCCATCAAATTTTAGCAAAAAATTCAATTCGAATGTCAGTCAAATAAATTTTTTAAAATAGCTGTGTTTTATATGTGTATTTTTCACAACAATAACGTCATATCAAAAAATGCAAAATTGAAAAAAATAAGGTAAGTGAGTTTTAAGTTTTGAAACAAACGTTACAATATTAAATTTGAACAAAAACTTATAACAGTAAAAGTCAAGTTATGTTGCACAATTGAAACTCAAATTTGATAGTTGTGGATGCTCATATAATACCATTTATTCAAATTATAGTATGATTTGTTCGAGTATCTGTGTTTTGTAACTACCGGTATACAAAAGAAAAAAAACTTTTCTCACTTTCACATCTTTTCTTTCTTACATTTTCTTCACCTCTCCTACTTTTGTAGCTTTATCTACGATTTTAGCATTATGAGCTTGACTACCAATTGATAAAAAAGAATTAAAAAGATTCACAAGAATAGGACGAAAAATGAGTTTTAACGGGAGTGCTATTGCAAAAGAGAAAACACAAAGTGTTTTGGACTACCATCACTATTTGTCACATATTATTAACTCTACATTATTAAAATAACTTTACGTTATTGAAATGAATGTGAAATTCAAAGTTTCACACCTAAAATACCTTTCAAGTTCAATGATGTATAATCAAACAACTATAAATAAAAATCATGTGCGTATATGTTGCCATTTTTTGGTTAACTGACGTCGGTTATAGTCAATACATATATACGTAAGAACATCAGCGATTAAATGCATTCTGATGTGAAATGAAAAAACACATGCTAATATTTGCATAATTCAATGCTAAAAGTGTTCTAACGTTGTCTCCTTGATTTAAGCTAAGATAGTCAATATGGAATATGTATTTATTAGCGGTGCAATAAAACTCTTTCATCATAAAAAGAATAACATTTTCTAAAAATAATGTTCATTTCAGTTTTTCTAAACCAAAGATACACACAGAATCAATATAATAAATTTTACCACATCGAAACAATATTTTTGTAGAGGTATGAACATGACTCTTGAACATGACATTTGTAATATTAATGAGTTGAAATGGTACAAAGTCACTAAAACCTATTTAAAATTTATCGAATACAATGAAATCGCTTAAATTGCGAACGAAATGGTTACGTCTCTTCAATCATGAATAGTCTGTGATTATTATATATTTGAAGTACATTAAAGTATACTAAATATAGACGATTCCAAGGGAAAACAATATATTATTGATCATTTTCTATCTTGGATTCTATTTCTCATCTCTTCTTATTTTTAATTTTTTTCCTTCCAAATGAAAAAATTTATGAGGGTTTCCGGAACCGATTAGCGCAGATGGATAAATAATGAAAATATATTTGTTAGGATGGTAAAATCATAAATGCAGTCTCGTGACTCAAGCAGGAATATATATAGAAAATATAAAGAGAAATTAAAAGCGCTTTCTTTCTTACTGCAAAACCTCTTTCTCTCTCTCCCTTCCCTTCTTCTTTCTTCTTAGAAGCTCACGTCTGGTTATAACCGAACCAATTCACAACCATCAATCCATAGATTCGCTCTTATTTCACGAGATCCCCTTTCTTTTCAACTCTCCCACTTGTGTATGACTTTTCCGGAGCTTCAGACATTGCCGGCTGTTCTCAGGAGCAGTAAAGAACTGAAATATATACGCGACATTTTTCTGCATTTCTTTTGCGCGCACATTTCGCGTGCGTATGTAGTGATTGAAGAACGGGAGAGTGGGTTTTGGAGATGTCGCATTCTAGGAAGGATTCCATTGATGGGTTAGGAGATCGGTTCAAGAACTCGGTGAGTTGCGATGAACCGGAAGTTGACAAGCCGGATTTCAAAGAACTTGATCTTGGTTCGCCGCTCTCGCCGTTGCTTTTTCGCCGGAGAGGGACTGCTTCGACCGCCACCACCACCACAAGTAGTAGCTCTAGTTCGTCCGGATCCGTTTCGGGTCGAAATGCGCCGAACCCGGTTCCGAAGAGGCCAGATTCCAGCCATTCCGGTGAGCTTTCAGGCTCTGTGGATAGTTCACCTACGGGTCGTGTATCCAAGAACGTGCATGCGAGGTCTGATTCGGGCGGCTCACACCCGCTAATTTACTCCGGCGGATATTCCGCGACTTCTCATGCTTCGAATGCTCTCCCCGCTGGTAACATCTGTCCGTCGGGAAAGATTCTGACTACTGGCATGGCAAACCGGGCCACCAAGACTGATACGTTAGGGTCTGGCACTGGGAATTATGGCCATGGGAGCATAATGCGGGGAGTTGGAGCGCACAAGTCCACTGCTGGTGGCGTCGGAAGGGACAGCACTGCTGGCCTAGCCACAAGTTCTAGAGGATTTATGGCTGGAGAGGCATTGAGAAGTGGAGGGCGGAATGATCCGGAGGAGTTCAAGTCCATGGGGAATGAACAATACAAGAAGGGTAATTACTTTGAAGCTTTGAATCTATACGACAAGGCAATTGCAATCTCTCCTGGAAACGCATCTTACCATTGCAACAGAGCTGCTGCATTGATTGCTCTAAAGCGGTTAGACGAGGCATTGTGGGAATGTGAGGAAGCCATCAGATTGGATCCAAGTTACGTCAGAGCTCACCATCGATTAGGATCTTTGTTTCTCTGGTAAGTTAAGTCAAGCTGTTAGGTTCAAATCTTTTTGCATGTTTCCCTATTGGTTACAGAAAGTCGTGTCTATTCTGTGAAGTGGCATCTTTGTGTTTGATGAACCGATCTTGATTTTTTTCGTGCCTTTCGTGCAAAATTCTTGGTGACTATATCTGCATTGACATGACTGTTTGCTCTTCTTCCTTTGATTCTTATGGTTAAAGTTGATCTTAGGTTTATTGATCAGTTTTGTGATTGGTGAAATTTGTGAAGTGTGTCAATTTTTAAACCTTTCTGTTATTTATCCTTTGTGGGTGTTTCTTTGGTTAAAAAATTGTTTGATTGGATTGTTATGCTGCTATCTCTATGAGACATAACTGACACCCCCTCCCACTATAATGCCCTTGCTTTAATGGATTTTACTCTACAACTTCATTATACTCTAGTTTTTGATCTGTAAGTTAGTAAAAACACAATGTAACATTTACTGGACCTTGAAACTTTGAAGGCTTATGTAACATGGGTTTCTTTTGTCCATAGACTGGATGTTCATGCAAGTCCTTCCCTCCTTCCCAGAGTAGATGATGCTTTTCTTGAATTCGACTATGTAGTAATTTTTGGAAATAAATTATGAAATGCACTTATTAATAACTTGTCTTCGTTATTTATAAAAGTAGAGGTCAAAATAAAAATGATGATCTGTAAGTAGTCGATTCTGTTCTGATTCATCTAAGGGTTGCAGTTTAGGGCAGGTCGAAAATGCGAGACAACACATTTGTTTTCCAGGCCACCAGCCGCAGCACATAGACATGACAAAGTTGGAGAGGGTTGAGAAACATGTAGGGAAATGCAATGATGCCAGAAGGCTTAGAGACTGGAGGGGCATGTTGAGAGAAGCTGATGCTGCAATTGCCTCTGGTGCTGATTCATCTCCTCAGGTATGTGTGGTGGCATTTATTTTATATAATGAGAGAAAATGGATTGTAGAACGGTTTGTATGCTACTATCTGATTTATTTGATTTGATGAATTTGCAGCTATTTTCTTGTAGAGCAGAGGCACTTTTGAAGCTATCCCAATTAGACGATGCTTCTTCAGGACAATCAATTGTTCCTCAAATAAAGCCACCATTAGCCGCTTCTTCCTCCTACTTCAAGTCAAAGATTTTTGGAATGCTTACAGAGGCATATATATACTTTGTACGGGCTCAGGTTGAGTTAGCCCTTGGAAGGTGAGTTTGGGTTCATAAGCTTTGCCCCAACTACACTACATTATGGGTATGTTCGGATACCAAAAACTGCTAAGGGAAATGGAAAGTGCTAAGGAAAGTTATTTTCTTATGTTGTGCTTTACCTTGGAAATGCAAAGAAAATTTGAATAAGATCGAGTATTTCAATTTTATTTACAAAATTTTAATTTACACAGGCTTTATGTATTAGAATTAAAAAATGAATTTTAAAAATATGAAATAATCGTATTCCTATCTTTTATTTCACACCTTTCCTTTCAATCATCTTCTCTATTTTCATCCTACATTCTTTTCCTAGTATTTCTCATGATCCAACCTGATCTTAAGGGATTCGCTTATGCGTATTGGTTATGACTACTGCAGGTTTGAGAATGCACTTAAAACCATTGAGACAGCTCGGCAGATTGATCCTCGAAACATCGAAGTTTCACTTTTACTCAGCAATATGCGTTTGGTTAGCCAAGCCCGTACTCGTGGAAATGACCTTTTTAAATCTGAAAGGTATACCGAAGCTTGTACAGCATACAGTGATGGCCTCAGGCTTGATCCTTCAAACTCTGTTCTTTACTGCAATAGAGCAGCTTGCTGGTATAAACTAGCACAGTGGGAGAAGTCTGTCAGTGACTGCAATCAAGCCCTCCATATCCAGCCAAGTTATACTAAAGCCCTTCTTCGACGTGCTGCCTCAAACATGAAGGTAATCTAATATACTCTCTTGTTTTCTGTTGATCTATTTTTAGTTATTAAAATGCGTCTGAACGTTTTTGGGATCTATAGCTCGAACTGTGGGCCGAAGCGGTAAGAGATTATGAAGTCTTGAGGAGCGAACTTCCGAATGATAAAGAAGTAGCTGAATCTCTGTTTCTTGCTCAAGTTGCACTTAAGAAATCCATGGGGGAAGAGGTTTGTAATTTGAAATTCGGAGGAGAAGTTGAAATTGTTTCAGGACTTGAACAGTTCCGAGCTGCTATTTCGTCTCCTGGTAGGCTTTGTCCTTCAACATTCCATTTTGATCTTTCTTTAATGATATGAACCAACATTTATATGTACATTATATATTGCAGGGGCATCCGTAGTGCACTTTAAAGCAGCTTTCAATGTACAATGTTGGCAGATATCCGCCTTCTCAGATGCATTGTGTAGCAAATATCCATCCATAAATTTTCTCAAGGTACTAAGTTAATATAGTATTATTGTGGGCTTCAATCTCAATCAAGACTTAAAAAATCACGACTTTTGATTCTTTGTTCTCTAAATTATAAACCCATGAACAAATTTGCTTTGAAGAAAATATGTACGAGTATATAAAAGATAATTTTCATATTCGATTGATAGTTTTCATAATTGAGCCCATCTTTAATGTTCCGGATCCTGAATCAATAGAATTCTGTTTCCTTTAATGTTTTCCCTCCAGAAAATATGAATTTATTTTACTATTTATCTTTTAAATTGAAGGTGGATGTGGAAGACTCCCCAGTAATTGCTAATGCAGAGAATGTTAGAACTGTACCAACATTCAAAATTTACAAGGATGGTAAGCGGATGAAGGAAATGATATGCCCTAGTCCAGAGGAGTTGGAGTCTTCAGTTAGGCTTTACAGTACATGAACACGACGATCACACATTTATTTTCAGTTCCTCAAATTTTTTGCATGCTCTTGTTCATGCAGCCCACCACCATTCTCAGGTTACTGGAATCTGCCACCCCCCGGCATTATACATGGGGATCTGTCTGTATGTTGTTACTTGTGACCCCACCAGATCATTCACCCGCATAATCTCCCGCCAAAACAACAGTGTATTGAAAAATAGATTAGTTTCTTCCCCTTTGACATTAATTCATTCATTCCTCAGTGGCCTCCACGGCTTTTTTCGCCACCTTCCTTTTCTGTTTACCTTTTCATCCTCAAGTTTCCATATTTCTACCCTTTTGCCCTCAACTTTCCATGTTCCTTTTTCATTTGTTTCAACCTCCACATGTAAGGTGAGACTAAAATGTATGTACAATTTTAAAAAGAAAAAAGAAAGAAGAGAGGGAGACCCCTTTAGCTAAATAGTCATGAGAATCTAGAAGAGATGGATAAGGATCTAAACATGTATATTTTGATGATGTACTTAATAATTGTCGGCCACAGAAGGATCCAGTATATCCATCTCTTGAATAGTCTATGATATATGTAGGGAGATTTCATGTATGAATAAGGGATGAAGAATATGAATGACATAACATTGTCAATTCCTTGTTCAAACATTCCACCAAAATAAATGTTTCTCATTTCTCTCTTCACTATTAATATCTTGCTTACCCATTTCTATGTTTTTGCACTTTGCTTACATTAGTTCGGTTCCGTGAAGCCATTGTTGGTTGAAGGTCGTGTTTTTTATTTAACAAGTAGTTTCTTATTAATGTTTGACACTTCTCTTAAAATGTGAGCTACTGGTATTCAAGTGGTACCGCATCTTTAATTTATTTGTTGGGATGTTTTCATTTGAACTAAAATTTTCTAGTTTGGTCTGTTTAAGTCTGTGTTAGACTATGGATGAACTAACCTATATTATACTAAATTAGATAATTGGATCAGTTTAGTTCAAAATTTGAAAACCAGATCGGAAAATATGACATCCTAAGCATGTTCTTATTGGATATGTTTAAATCTGAGTCGATCTGTTTAAAGTTCAATTTTTTGAAGTCTAGTTTGTTTCTAGTTGGTGAAGGCGCCAGCCTTCATTAGAATGTGTGTTACAATGATTCTCCATCAATTTTCGTGGTGTGGAATATATGTTAATGTTATGCTTTTGGGGCAGATCCAAATAAGAAATGTTGGTTTATTGGTTCTGTTTTTCCTTTTATTCTTGGCAGGGAGATTGTCATGTAAACTAGATGGGTAGGGGTGGATTCGGTTCGGGCCACCCGGCCCGTGACCCAGCCCGGCCCGGTACTGTGCGGGCCCGGGCCCGGCCCGGTCGGCCGGGTCGGGCCCGGGCCCGGGTCCGGTCTTATTTAAAAAAAAAAATTTGTTTGGGCTCTTGGGCTACTAGCCGTTGGGGGTGGGGCTGGGGACAACCCAAACGGCGGGGGTGCGAGAAAAAATGTAGCATGAAGGTTTCAGGCGGATTCGGAATGACAATAAAGCATATGAAGTCATGTGACAAAGCCAAAGGATCGGGAGGTGCGGGAAGTTCTGATTGATTACAATTTTCAAAATGTTTATCTCTTAAAGTTTGTTTTAATTTTCAAATGTAGTTCCTATTTCATTTCAAATAAATGCAATTGAAGTTTGTTTTTAATACTCGTATAAAACTATAAACCATAAAATATAAATTATAAAAAAAAAAATTTAACCGGCCCGGCCCGAACCGGACCCGACCCGTGACCCGGGCGGGTGGCCCGGCCTGAACCGGACCCGTCCAACCCTCGGGCCGGTCCCGGGCCCATGTCATACAACCCGGCGGCCCGATCGGGCCTAGGCCCGGCCCGAGTCCATCAATATAGATGGGTAACGTATAGATATTTACAAGATATTAGCACTTTTTCATTGAAAAGTTTTTTCAATCCAAAAGATTTAACGTAGAGACATCTCTGTAAGATTCCATCCCAACTCTCCATTTTAAAGATTTACGCTCCCCGTTCTTGGACTTTGTCCCATTTTACATTTTTCATTCATCCTACTAAGTTCATCTCATATCATATTTGGGTAATATTTGAATTATTGCAATGAATTCTTACGTTATTCAAATTTTATCAATTTAATACCAATCATGGACTACACAATCATGGACTACTTAGAATCTTACCGTTAAATGCGTTTCATTAAAAATTTTTCATGATCTTCACACCGAGGGAGGATAAAGTGAGTTATAAAACTTGTGTTAGTTTTGTTAGGATAATATTAGTTTAGAGAGCAACCATGAGTAAGGATCTTTGACCTTGTGAGTATGGGTTCTTGCATGATCTCGTGACCTGCAAGACCGAGCGATTCCCTCTAGCTAGGCTTGGACTCGGTGCGGGCCACCTGGCCCGGGAACCGGCCCGACCCGCTACTGTGCGGGCCCGGCCCGGCCCGGGAAACCGGGTCCGGTTCCGGTTCGGGTCTAGGCCCGGGGGGTCTACCGGTTTGGGCACGGGTAAGGGAAAAGGGGAACCGGCCCGGCCGGGCCTTTTTTTATTTTTTTTTGATTTTTTTGGTTTGGGCTGGGGTTAGTTGGGCTGGGCTGGGTATTTCCGAGGGGTTTGGGGGGTTGGGGAGGGGTGAAATAAACAAGAATAATAAAAAAAAATGAACCGGAACTGGCCCGGCCCGGAACCAGCCTGACCCGGAACCGGCCCGGCCTGGAACCGGTCAAGACCCGGGCCGGTCTCGGGCCTATGGATACGGAACCGGCGGCACGGCCGGGCCTAGCCCGGCCCGGGCCCGACCCGACTTGAGTCCAAACCTACCTCTAGCTTACCTTTCTTTACCTCTTACCCATCATCCTCATTCAACCGAACCCGTTACTTTGCACTTCTCATTATGTTTCGTGTTAAAAAGTTTCTTCACATTAAGCACAAAATTCCCTATCATTTCGCCGCAACCTTCTTATTTTCTCCAATATAGGAGTGACAGATTTGCTAGTACATGCCACAAGCATCAATTAAAAATTCGAGGCATGTTATCTATAGCATCACATTTAAGCATTACCCATGTAAAGTTTTTGCAGAATCGTTTCAAAGGATAAATCTCTAAATCTTTTTGGCCTCATGATCCTTTTTATCCAGCTATTCATGATGTTCTTGAAGATGTGATTGTGAACCGTAGCACACATCCAAAAAATTGTGTCATATACTTTCCCTATGAGATTCTTGCCTTGGTTAATCCTTTCCATTACACCATTTTGCAGGTGTTGATCATGATTAAACTTTCTTTAAAACTTCCCTTTATCCTCTTCTTAATGCATCTAATTGCCATCCCCACCATATATGTTACACATGAATACCCAATTCATACTCTATATGCTCCTTTTAGGCAACACATCTAATGCAAAGGTCCTCCCAAACCTTGTCATCATAACTATCATCAACCACTTTTGTTATCTTAAATATCGAACTATGTATGTGGATGCCAATCATAATTTTAACCTAGTTGCGTGTGAACCAATCTTCTAAGCTTGCACTATATGAAAATGAAATATTCTCTTTACTTCAATTTGCCATGACCCTTTTGGATCCATTTCTCTCAAAGTTTTTTTTAGTACGGACAAATAATATACTACCTCCGTCCCTTAAAACTTTGTCAGGTTTGACCGACTCGAGGAATACACTCTAAAGCTTTATGATCATTGTGTGATTCCACATGTCACGAATTAAGGTCTTTCTCACTCTCATAGGATATTTGTGTTACAAATTGAGGTCTTTCACATTGTTCTTTAAGATGAGTCTAAAAAACTTCTTCATCTAGTGTCTCCATGGCCACATCACATACTTAAAAGCCCTTTGTTGATATTCTGCCCTTTCTTCTTCTCCTTAAATTTAGTTGAACTTAGACCTCAAAAGTTCATCATCATGAGCTACCTACAATTCTACATCAAACATATTAATCCCATGCATCTTCAAACTCCACTTGTATGCCATCACCAAACAACAAATTGGCCAATGAATGTTCATCACTTCCATTTTGACCTTTTATTTATTCATGTTCATCACATGTGGTAACTCCAGACTGTTAAACACATCATACCACTAAAAAATAATCTCTCCTTGCACTCACACAGTTGCAAAAGAGACTCACAAGGTACAAATTTCTCGCATCATTGATTCTAAGGGTGTGTTTGGGAGTTGACTTTTGTAACCCTTCAAAACCCTCCAATTACTCATTTTTTAAGTTCCCCAATTTGAAGGATTTTGGGGGATAATTAATAAGATGGTAATTTAAGCTAAATTGAAAATGCATACCAGCTTAATGATTTAAATTCATCATATCTCAAATTGATTTTAATTATAATTCCTTGAAAAAACTCTCTCCTTCCAATTTTATTACTCCCAAATACGAAGAAGGGTTTCATCACCTTCCCTCTAACAACATAACTTCAAAGTCTTTCCCTTCCCTTTCTTCCAAACTCCCAAACATACCCTAAAGGTTCACTTCAGAGTTTATACAATATCATTTTAACACATCTAAATTGTTTTGATTCTAATTATTTTTCAAATGCGGATACGATATAAAATCAGAGTCACATTTCTTTACCTTTATACCCTCATTATCAGTATACCTCATAGGAGAGTATGCTTCATGACTGTCACCATTGCGTTCATTTAGGTCCATTATTTCTCACATTCTGAAATGCACAAAGATATTATTAAACTACACATCAATTTTGAACATTCTTCACAGTATGTATCATACATTCATACATTCATTGCTTTTAATCAACATTTACACCGCGAAGAACAAATCATTAAAAGTAATTATATTGAAGCTATTATATGATCAGAATCGTTTCCCCTTTAACCTTCAGCTTCTGCCGATGAAGTATCCTCATAGCTAGTTCAATTGATCCAATGAAATCTTAATTCTTTCAAATTAGATTACAAAGTTAGCAACAAGGATTTGATCCATCTATATTCTTCTTAGCCATGAACAAAACAATTGACACCTTACCTCCCAACGAAGTTTTTAATATGAGTTAGCCCGCTAGATTGAACCTTATACGCCGAGATTATGAGTCAAAATCTATCGGGATATTACGAGTAAAGTTTGCATCCTATTTTCAAAATCATTAATGTATGCACTTCAAGTCACTATGAAATCATTTGAATTTGCACCCCACTTCTTCATAATTTTTGGGTTGATTGTGTGCATACATTAATGATTTTAAAAACAGGTTGCAAAGTCAAATATCACAGAAAACGTGGAGTGCAAAGTCAAATTCTCCCAAATCTATTTAAAAATCTATTTCTAAAAAAGGTGCCAATATTTTCTATTTTTTGTAGGATATCCTATCTATATAAAGTCACATGTGAGGTCCGGACACCAATACAGATATTCACATTCCATTTCCATTCACCAAACATTTCTCGGTTGTGACTTGTGAAATTGTGAAAAGCAAAACTCAATCTAACCCTTGCACTGTTGCCTGTTCTTAGCGTTTGTAAACTCCATTTTCAACTCCCGTGTTGCGTGAGCATTCCTACCGAAAGCATCTCGCGATTGAGTTCAGTTCAATGGCGAACAGCAATCTACCTCGAAGAATCATCAAGGTACCGCTTCGATCTTCTTGTTTCCTCGTCGATCTCTCTCCGATTCTTCCAGGAAATTCGATTTGAGCCCTTTTTGTGTTTGATCATTTTCGGTGCTGTTCTGCTTTTAGTAATTTCTTAAGTTTTTTCTTCTTCTAGGAAACTCAGCGGCTCCTTAGCGAACCAGGTATATCTCTTCCAGCGATTCGGTATATACTACTTGTATATGTTTCTCTGTGCTTATCTAAGTTTTTTCTTGACGGCGAAGTGTGGATATAGTGCTTGACTAAGTTTTATCTCCAGTGGGAATGGTTTGTAAGCTCTCCTGCGACGAAAGTACGAGTATAAAACTATAAACTGTATGATTTGTTAAAAATTACAGTGTTGCCTCTTTTTGTGGCTGGCGTTAGTTTCTGAGCGTCTAAATAGTAACTTCGTGTGATACAATATTGATCCATGTAATTTCTTTGTCAGATTCCTGATGTAACATCTTTATTTGTTGCTTTATATTGGTTGTTCGGATAAGACGTTTAAGTGTTTTTGTATTGTTATTACTCATTTCAGCTCCTGGAATAAGTGCATCTCCATCAGAGGAAAATATGCGGTATTTTAATGTGATGATTCTTGGTCCAACACAGTCTCCATATGAAGGTAATCTGTACTCATTTGCTCATTCTTAATTTGCGGTATTACTCATTCTTAATTTGGTCATTTTATTGAATGAAGCTTTTTTGTCCTGGGGCCAAACCGCCAAACTAAGTGGGAATGATACAGTCTTTAACTCTTTCTTAGGCTTTGACCTATCTTCATTTGTGTTAAACAAATGCAGGACATGATTTCTTTTTACTGTATATTCATTGAATGCTCTGTTATATCCCTTTTTTATCTATAGGTGGTGTGTTCAAGCTGGAATTGTTTTTGCCTGAAGAGTACCCAATGGCTGCTCCAAAGGTATTGCAATAAATCAATTGCTCAGGGACTTTTCATGCAACTTTTGAAATATAAGTACTTTTCAAGCTCTACCATTTCTGCCTGCATTGCAATTAGTCAATTACTGATTTTGCTTGTTAAAAATCTCAATTGCACATAAATGCAGCGCGGCTGTATCTTGTACCCACTACTGTGTTTCTTAAACATCCATATATAATCATATAGTTGTCCTTTGAGTAATGATATATTCACTTCTGACTAGAAATTATGTAATGCTCGATGAACTAACTGTGAGTGTGTTTTCTTTTGTTGGTTACACTTTGTTATATGATTGAGAATTAAGAGTTATAATCAAACATTTTGTATATTTTTCAGGTTCGGTTCCTCACCAAAATCTACCACCCTAATATTGACAAGGTTTGTTGTGATTGCTCTGCATCCACTTTTTTTTTGCACGAGTCTTGATTCTTTGTCATAACGGAATTTCGTGTGCAGCTTGGAAGGATATGCCTTGATATCCTCAAAGACAAGTGGAGTCCTGCTCTTCAGATTCGAACGGTCCTTTTGAGGTATTGAAATTCATTTTAGTTATTAATTTCCCGACTATAATATTCATTAGAAAATTATGACTTTTTGAGTATTTGAAGTTGTACGATCTTGACACTGTGATCTTATGATGTATCAGCATTCAAGCACTTCTGAGTGCTCCAAATCCAGATGATCCACTCTCTGAAAACATTGCTAAGCATTGGAAGACGAATGAGGCTGAAGCCGTCGAAACAGGTTCTTTCACTTTACTGATCTTGGAGTAAATGCATTTGTGGTCCCTTAACTACTGGGAGTTGCTAAAACTAGTCTGGTTCATCATTTTTTTGGCAATTAGACCTGTTTTTTAAAACTTCAAAAGCTTAGTCCTGAAGTCAAGAAATTGCAAGTTTGCAACATGTACTAGAATATACTGTTCAAAGCAGGGATCTAGTGAATCAAATACTTAAAATGCAAAAAACCATTGTTTGTAACATTTTAATTCTCAAACCTTTTTTAGTGTCTTATGAAAAAGTGCTATTGGTCTTTAATTTTTTTAAGTTCACCCATGATCATGGATTCATTGGATTCGAATTTGAATTGAATTTCCACACAAGCTTTGAGATCTTATTGTGGCATTGAGACTAATTTGTCTGACATTTTGAAAGAAATAGATCTAAAATTGTAAACTTGTGGCAGTTGTGGGTATACTTTTGCCAACCCACTCCCCTTTAGTCAAGGGGCCAAAAGTGCATTTAACCTATTGGATTATGCATGTCAAAATTCTGGGAAATTGATCTAGCATCACTAGTATACTTTACTTCAATGTTCTTTGAGTTTTTCTTTTTCCTCTTTTTTGCAGCTAAAGAATGGACTCGCCTGTATGCTAGTGGCGCTTGAGCGGATTGTTCTGAATAACATAATATGAGTGTGCCCTTGTTTACCATTTAGAATATGGGGCGCCACATGTAGTGAGCGTGTTTGAAACAAACAAAAGTTTCTGTTTGCATTACTTTTACATTCGTGTTACTGCTGGATTATGATATCCCCACCCCTGAAAAGATTCTTTTTGTTGTAAAATGAAAAGATTGTATCTTTCTTATTGCTGTCAATGGGGTCTTATGATATTTGTGATATTTTAGTTTAGGTTCACTGTTTGTGGTAGTGACCTATAGGAAAGCATTGGAGTCACCAATCCCTGTTAACCTGGCTATGTCTCTACTCTGTTTTCACCCACCTCTGCCTATGGGTTGAGCTCTCAAAAGAGCTAGGTTGGGCCGGGCTTGTTCTATCATAAATTTTGAGAATACATGTACGTAGTACGGTAGTATATACTATCGTAAGTAATTGCTCCTTTGCAAACAGAGAAAGAAAACAAGTGAAGTGATTTAGTTATTTTTGTGGCAAAGTAGGGGTGGATCTGATATCTGAAATTCTGAACTAGACTGGGAAGGTACAAAGTCGGCTACTCGGGTTTATGGTTCTGGACTGGGACTGGGACTCGGAGCCTGACCCAAACCTGGTACAGTTTTGCCAAAATAAGACTGGAACCGAGTCAACCGACCAGAGTGGTTCTGTTTTTCTTTTCTTTTGTTTTTGTTTTTCAATTTCTTTGGAACCAGAACCAGTGAGTAACTGTAGTCGGTTTTCGTCGGAAGTGTTCGGCTGCTCCACCATATCCCCAAGGCCTTGAGGCTTGAACTCCTTGAAGTTAGCTCCCTCAACCAACGTGCTTACGTGCCCCTGCTATGTTTCATTTCCAGTTTCTACTCTTTATATTTTAACTGGTTAAATGTACTCTGTATTAAAAATGTTAACAATCTCAAATTAATCTGTAATCTATGAACTTATTTATATTTAACTTTCATTCTTATTCCTAAAAATACGTACAAGTTACTCATTTTATGTAATACTGTGCATGAAGTTATGAAACGTTTTGTTCTAGAAGCTAGAAAATACGACTTCATTGGCGTTTGCACCAACTATTTAATCCAAAATTCTAAATTTATTGACATTATGTTCTTTTGAGAACACATTATGTTTTTAAATCAGAGCCATTCCAACTTTGTATTCTCTATGTTTTTGCAACCAGGTTGGGGCCGTTGGGCCGGTCCCGCACAGTGGTTGGTCGGTCTGGTTCTCGGGCCGAGCAGATCGGAACCGGTCCATCCCTAGTGTCAGCGATGAGTGTGAGCCTATTGTCGATTGGAGAGCTCAGAGAGAGAAGTCGACTTCCGGGTTTAATTACATTAAGGAGGTGTAAAAGGGTAATCCCTAGTCCTGTTTAGGGAATAGTAAACTTAAAGTCCTATTTAGACATTTATGCCATGTATTAGTCCCATTTAGGGAAATTTCTTTTTAGTTTAATTCTAGACATGAAAATATTTATTACAATAAATCATTTTAATAGTGTACGGAGAGAGTTAACTTTTATTCATCACCCTAACCATTTATTGGAAAATAATTTGGAACAGATCATGAAGCCATCTCGACTAGCTTGACAAAGTAACTGATTACTTGACGAAACCCATCGATCAGGGGCGGATCCAGGAATGAAGAGTGAGGTGGGCTTAGCAGGAAAAAAATTGTTATTGCAAACAAAAAGTTTAGCTTAGGCTGCTTAGGGCCGTAATCGAATTGAGTTTTTTTCGAACTACGCGAATTCGAGCGCGATTTCAAATTTAATTTAGCGATCTGAGCTTAAGAAGCTTTTTTTTAACTCGAACACGAGCTAGATTTTGAGTTCGAATAGTTGTTCAAACTGAGTTCGAGCATAGTGATATTCGGTTTGATCCGGACTCGAGTCTGTCAATAACTCGTAAGTTATAGGAATACATTTTATTTATCTTAATATTTAAACATTTTCATTGCAATTTTTTAAATCTATTTGAACACTAAAAAATAGAGTTCATATATCTAATTTATTCAAGCCGAGTTTGAGCATAAGTTAAATTAATAATCAAATAGAATTACATAACTATAAAATAAAACTAATGCACAAAATAATAGATTAAAAGAGTATAAGAGTATGTGTGGATGGCTGAACAACTAGACTCGGCTAGAGGCAGCTAGTCGGACTCGAATAGACTAGAGGGGTAGAGCCGCAACGAGCTATAGGCTGGAGTGTCGGACTCCAGAGGGACACCGACGATCGACCGCAGACATAGGGGACAGGAAGGCAGGTGGCGGCGCGGCTGGGTGCCTGTGTTCATGACTTCGTGGCTTCGTCGCTTTACTGAGTTGAGTCCTTCCAACTTTTGCTTTGTGCTTGTTAGTCGCTTTATAACAAAAGTATACTTCTACAGTTCTAAAAATCACAAATAGTAGTTCTTACCATGGTTGTTTCAAAAATTAGAACTAGATAATGAACTGGGTGATGGAAAAAGCATAATTTTAATAATAATGATGAAACGGTTAGCAACACAAGAGGGGGGGTGAATTGTGTGTGTGTGGAACCGTGACAGTTTTTCGCACAGTTCTAGTGTGGGGTCCAGGGATTTACGAAATAGTAAAGTGCACAAGGATTTAACGAGGAAAAATCCCTTGGCTCAAAGGGATTAAAAAACCTCGACCTCCCTCGGAGGAATTTGAACAACTCCACTAAAAAGCCTTTGAATAATTACAAGGGAAACTCTCCTAGTCTACCCTTGAGCCACCCCAACTCTATCCTCTCTAGAAAGAGTTATGCATCTCTACCTTGCGGGTAGAGAGCCTCTCAGCTTTACAACAAAGCTCTCACAACACACTAACCAACCCGAGGATGCTACACTTAGCCAATCCTCAAAAACCCAATTACAATATGAAGAAGGGAAACAGAAACTTTGTCTGGAACTCCGTGAGCAGGTTCAGGTGCCTTGGACTTAGTGAATATTCTCGTGTATATTTCTCAATAGAAGCTCGGTCAAGCACACCCTTTCGTCTGGTCCTTTGTCCAATATATATAGCATCCGTAGCCTCTTCTTTCCTTTTATTCAAAGATCTTCCGGCTCACAATTATGGTGATCCTCGGTCAACCATATATCTATATGGAAGTATATTATGAGTAAATCACTTAATAACAAAACATATATGGAGAATATTACGTATCACATATAAGGAGAATATTTCATTTTCCTAATATAAGCATCCAACGGACATTATGTAGCAACAACTTATTTATATAATCAATGATTAGTTCTCTTTAACAAGTTTGAATATGTAACGATCATATAAGTAAGATATTCAAATAAGGTGCTACAGATCATGCAACCCAAGATACTTTCCATAATTTATCTTTTAATATAATGACTTTTTAACATTAAGTGTTAAGGAAATATTTACTTAGTGAATCTAAATATGCTACGGTCAATTTGTGCAGGATATTTATGTAGCATAAATAATGATTCTTCCCATAAGCTATATAGGCCAACTCATAGAGGTGAGTGCTTAGTCATATACGGAAAGATATTTAAATTGCGATAAAGAATAATAATAATAATAATAGAAATAGTATACGACCAAATAAAGATAGTTGATAAAGAGTAACTTACACTACAAAAAAATTACGGGATTGACACGGAATTTGGGATGGATTTACCAAATTTTCGTGCCAAATAGCTCGAGCCAAAGTGTTTTTGGCACGGATTTGCCATATCCCTGCCAAAATCCCTGCCAATCCCATATTTTTTTGTAGTGTTAGTTATTTTAATGATTATAATTATGTTTAAATTTTAATGCTTATAAAAGTTACTCATGGTGACTTGGATCAAATAATAGTAATATTCATATAATTTATGTTGTAAATAATATTGTAAACTTGTAATATAAAGTGCTTTCATTGATGGTGTGGGTGCGTGGGTGAGATGGGATTGCATAATTGGCAACCGGCTCCAAACACCAACTACATACGATTGTTTAATACTCCATATGTAAAGTTTTGCTCCTCAATTTATCCCACACTGGCTGCAAGGATGGTTCACCCTCTTGAGTGTCCTATATATAAATCACTTCTTGGTGTAATCACAGCAAGCTCTATTATTACACATCGGGATCATTTGTTCCCATGACTATGGACTTTAAACAAAGTTTGGACAGCCTTTTGCTTTTAGAGCTTCTTAGAACACTTCCTTGTTAACTTGGGCTGGGCTGAGTATTAACTTTTGGGTGGGCTGAAAATTAAATCTCTTTGTATACTAACAAAAAAAATTGGGTTGGATTGGGCTAAAGCCCACCCTAGGCCCTACATAGATCCGCCCATGCCATCGAGTTTGGACCATTTTGGCCTCTTAGGAAAAAATGTGCCCCTCCCCTCTTCCCTATAAATATGAGGACTTTCCTCCTTAAAAAGAGCTCTATTTTCCTGATGGTTTAGAAGTAGAGCACTTTTAGCGTAAATACAGTGTATTTTAGTAATTAGGCAATCATCCCTTGATATTTTGGAACCAGCGCTTGAAGACAAGTTTACAATGGAAGCTTAGAATGCTAATTGTATCTTTACGAATGCTAAAAATTATCAAATTATGAAATAAACACCAACATTTAATATTTTTGAAAGAAATAATACATGACCATTGACGTACACTCGTCGTTAGGTGCACTCAAAATAAATAATCAATACGACACAAATACGTAGTATAGTGTAGTAAGGTTCGTATCCACAGGGAAAGGAATACTTTTCTTTTATAATAGTAGTAACAAAAAGGGGGGTTTAGATTTGTTTGTTTTAACAACACTAAGATAAAAAACCTATATGAGTTTAATGCAATGAGATGGGGACTTGGTCTTGCTTTTATCCACTTAATGAAATGTTCGTCGATCCCGGTTATATCTTTAACTATCTTCCTCTCGAATACTCAATCGAGGAGTATATCCAGTTCATCGAGGGTAGTTATTAATAACGAGATGCGTTCATTAATAAAACTTACTATCGAGTCAATATAGAACAAGCGCCGTATATTAACTTGATAGTAGCAATAAACTTAAGATGAAAACGATTGAGATTGATAACCTCAACACAAGCGGTTTATTGGTTTAATCAATATAATTAATTCCCCTTGGCATATTAACCATGAGATGCATGCATTAATATTCCAAGTTTACTACCGTTGAAAGAACCGGATTAATAACAAGCGTATTAACCGATTGATTC